GAAAACATGATTGACTCCGCCACGTTCGAATACATTCGTCCCACAGGGACGGTGATCCCGAGACTCTACGGCTTACCGAAGGTGCATAAGGAAGGACTTCCACTAAGGCCCATACTAGACATGTGCAATTCACCGTATCACGCAACAGCCAAGTGGTTAGCTAAGCTTCTAGAGCCGGTGAGAAATACTATGTCCAGGTACAGCCTACGAGACACATTCAGTTTCTTAGACTCCATAAGACAGCTTCAGCTAACCGGAAGAAAGATGTTTTCGTTGGATGTGGTGTCGCTCTTCACCAATATTCCGTTAGAAGAGACAATTGACTATATATGTGACACCATTCGAGACCATCAACTGGGTATCGGCCTTTCAACTGATCGATTGAAACAGCTACTCCTGCTGTGTACTAGTAACATACAATTTCAGTTTAACGGGGCCATATACAGACAAAAAGATGGAGTAGCAATGGGCTCACCACTTGGACCGCTACTGGCGGATGTGTTCATGAGCAAATTAGAGAATACCTATCTGAGCGGAGTCATTACCAGTCTACCATATTACGGACGATATGTGGATGACATATTTTGCGTGACGAACAGGCACTGTTGCCCAGAGACAATTTTATCCCATTTTAACTCAGCGCACCCTAATGCCAGGTTCACCCTAGAAACTGAAGTCAATGACACGATGTCCTTCCTAGACGTTCAGCTTAGTAGACGACCAGATGGATCAGTCCAACGGAGGGTGCATAGAAAAACAACGTGGAACGGACAATATATACATTTTGCCAGTTTTGTCCCAATAAATCAGAAACGCAACTTGATTAGATGTCTAACCGAAAGGGCCAGAAGGATTTGTAGTGAGGACACACTTGCGGACGAGCTCAGTTTCTTAAGTGGCGTTTTCGAGAGAAACGGCTATCCAGAAAAATTTGTTCGGAAATATATGGACTGCATAGAAATGAGAGCTAAACCAGCTTCGGTAGAAAAGAAACCGGTTTATTTGTCATTGCCGCTCAAGGGGGATGGCATAGCGCAGGCAACATTTAGAAGATTATCCGACGCTATGAGTCATACGTACTACGCAGCGAGCTTGCGGCTAAGTTTTACTTCAACACCAATCGTGAGGCCCCAACTCAAAGACAGACTTCCCTGGTCATGTACTTCTTATTGTGTATATTCCTTCTCTTGTTCATGTCGAGCAAGATACATTGGAAGAACTACTAGGAGGCTGTCTGAGAGAATACGCGAGCATTGCCCAGCTAATCTACGCAATAGTGGAAGAAAAACTGTGATGAGCGCCGTGTTGGCACACTTGGTTGATTCTAATCACCAAATTGACTCCCGCCAATCTTTTCAACCCATTTACCGTGTACCTGGACGCCTTTCACGAGCGGTAAAATGTCGTATACTAGCAGCAGCTGAGGCAATTGCTATCCGCCACCAGAACCCAGACTTATGTGCTCAAAAACGGTTCGTTCAGATTCTGTGTTTGCCCTGGCCCACTATCACAACGACTCACGTTGAGGGACCTGCCGCCGATAAGTCATCGATCACTTCTGATCGGATTAGTTAGCGTTTTCATTCCAACGACCCTGAACTTTGAACTTTACCATCATCTGCTGTTTTATGTTAATCTTAACCTTATTCCTATCAGTTGTGGTGTTTTAGCCTGACGAGAGCCACCGAAAACAAGCTTGTTCGCTAACTTGTTGTTCTGATTGGGAAGTTATCGTACTCGTCGCCTCTTCGAGGTTGGTTTGATGTGGTGAAGCTGGTGGCTTATCAGACCGGTTTGGACCAGACACAATTGCAACCGCTTGTGCTACAGTACCACGCGCTTGATATCGTCTGACTCGGCTTCATCGGCGCTTGCTTTTTCCGCAATCTGCGTTTCTTTTGCTGATGTAGCAAAGCTCTCTCGTAGACCTAGGCAACCGCCCTTTTGCTATACTGACGCTATTGTTGTCGATCCACTGCTTTTGGTTCGCAACTCCGGAAATCAGCATTCATTCCTGCTGAATTCAACTTGCTCATGTCCTGAGAACGTAACCTCGGTTTCCCACGTTGCGCTTTTCTGCACGGAGCTGCTCAAAAGCAGCTGTTTCCATACACTAGTGAAATCTATACGCCTGGCATGTTCGATCCACCACAAGTGTTGCAACAGAAGTAGGTAATTCGCAGCATACATGCTACTTCGGCGCATTACCTCTGTGTATGTAACTCGATCACCCCAGCGCCTGCGAAAAATTCCAACGCAGTCACTTATGATGAAGACGCTTCAGCTATCTGACCTCTTCCGGTACAGCGCCTAGGTTTCACTGTCATCCCTGAGAACCGACAGTCCCATCGAGCGGTACACTAACAGCTTGGCTGCAATGGTAAGCTGGCGATTGTTCCATACTCGATTTCTCAGGACGCCGAATGCAGCCGCCCGCTTCGATACGCGGATGCGCGGTTGGCTCGTCTTCTGGAGTTCTATAAAGAGTAGGCTCCCCAGGTGGCTTACAGAACGTTGGTATCAAGCTAGATTCGCAGCATACCAACGGATTCCATTAATAGTAAATGCTGAAAAATACATTTTTCTTGTGCTTATGGTGAGTACGAACTTGGCAATAGTCGAAGTGAGAGCCATCGCCATGTAAAGCAATCCATCTGCATTGTGTGCAAACAACGCGCAGTCGTTCGCAAAAAGCAACATACGGATGGTTGTCTTACACACTAGGGTTCTCTCTCCGAAATGACGGATGTCCAGTAACCCACCAAGGTTCTAGCGCCTCATGCGCACACCGTCATCACAAGCAGCCTCAAAAGCACAAGACATCATACCATAAAGGTAAATATTGAACAAAGCGCCGGCTAAGACACAGCTCTGTTTCCCCGGCCAGTGGCGTTAAGGACCGCAATCTTGCCTTGTAATCCGGAGGTTGAGGGTTCGAGCCTGCGTAGGGTAAAGGGGCGACCCTTTCAGTATTCTCAGCAACTGGTGATAGTTGTGCGGCAGCGATGCCTTTTATATTTCACACTAGGGACAACATGAAAGTCACCCGAGCTTTTCCAGCAGAGCTGCACTCTCGCCTGCCTAGCACTGTGCAGTAGTTCAATTAAACTCACAAAGTTACTTGGGCAACCAAACTTACCCAACGCCAGCCACAGTTTCTGACAGTTCACTGTGTCAAATGCCTTAGTGAAGTCAACAAAAAGCGAGTACATTGGTTGCTGTGTCTAGCTGCATTGCTCCAGCGACTGAAGAGCCGCGAACACCCTATATATGGCGCTGCGGCCCGAACCTGATGATGTGCCACTGGAAACGAGCCTCTTAGTCAACATTTGTTTCTTCTGTTAATGTCTCGGTTATTCAGACAAAGAAACGCATCCCGTCGCTCGCATAGTTCACTTTGCGGATGAGATTAAAAAAGAAAGAATTAAGAGAAACAAGCGATTTCTTGTTGTATCAGCCGAGCCCCTGTCTTACTGTGAGTATGCTGATCAGTTGTGTGCTCGAAGGTAGCCTCGCGGTAACAAATCCACCAAACACTAAAATGATTATCCTGCTTGGAGACGTTTGAACTCCTGTCCGCTTCTGCCAGATTACCACGCTGGACGACTTGAGTAGAGTTTGGGGTCCACAGCTCGAACTGTCTAGGTTCTCTATATAATAACTTTATTTCCATTTTGCAATCGTAGTATCGATATAGCATATTTACTGTCCAGTTTCTCAATTCAGTATGCCTGATTCGCTCGTTCCCACTTCAGCTTCACTAACCGCTCTACTTATGAGACGATACACATTGTCAATTAGGCGCAACTGATGGGAAATACCTGAGCTTGGAAGACAAGAAGTTGGACGAGGTTGCCGGTGATGCACTTTACGCAGTGTGGCCTAGAGAACGCTGGAGTTTGAGCAATTATGAGGTGTACTAAGTATGGTGGGGGTTAGAAATCCTGTGATGGTAGGATGCCGCACTTAGATGCCAGTAGTTTACTCATCGATCGAGCCAAACGATTCGGCCTAACACTCAAAAAGATGGCCGATCGTTACAAGAGGCGAAATGAAGGATAGCACGCAATCGATTCAGATCGACATAAACGAAGCTCGAACGCTGGCCGAGAATGAAATAGCAAGAATATGTTTTTGTGAGTGGTTCTACTTGACGCGAGATATAAACTGTGCTTGTGTTCTATTTCTGATCGAGGTCCATACTCTGACGTTCTTTTTTCACGGAGGGTCACTTGACACTAGGCAGTGATGGTCGAATAACTCTCAGTGGATTGAAAAAAACAGCAGTCAAAAGTTGTCAAGTTATTGCTACTGGTCAGCCTGTTTCGAGAACAAAGCATCTGTTAATGAAAAAGCACTTAAGAAGGTGCTGGATTGCTTGGCTACCATTCATTGTAACCAGGGACCAAAATGTATTGCCTTGAGCTTTCAACGACCTGCATCAGTCATTGGTTTGTCAGAGTAAAACGCTGATGATCGCTAGAACACTGTGACTCGATTAAAAACGAAGCCACATCATAAAAAGCTTATTTTGTAGGTTGGAGAGTGGGCTTCCCTGATACACTGAGCCAAGGTGTTGTCGTGACTAAAACCTACTCCGTTCAGTCTTGCCTCGAGCATATTAATGCCATTAGGTTAAAGCTGCGATTTAGATTGGAGGAAAATTGCCCTTTATGAGAATACAAATGGTCGCGCAACCCAGCAGCGCAGATACTTTACTGAGAAACTCCCAATAAGTACCCACATCGTACGAGGAACCCTTAAGCATCCAACTGGTAGAGATCTAATCAATCCGAAAAGATGGAGCATCAACTCCCGCCTCATTATTGGGTCTGTCAGTGTAACTGTTTTCCGATCTTGTCTCGTTCCATTGTGCGTGTCAAATCCATATACCTCCGAATGGTTGTGTGCAAAAGTAACAGCATAATGGTAACTTGAAAACTGTGAACTTTTACCATACATATGTCATCATTTATTGCGTATTGGACATGTTTCCTCACCGGTGATGTATACCATTGTGGTATTTCCAAGTTCAGGAATCTGGGTAGACTGGTCTGAAAAAGAAGTACATGCACGCATATGAGGCAGGATAACTTTACAACTAAAATAAATAAAGGAAAAAGCAACACCTCTTATGTGGGACATATTTACCACAATTAATGAGGAAATAAACACGAGGATATCTAAGGTTCAGGTGTCTTGTTCACAATGTAATTGTGTAGACACATCTGATTACTGTGTGGGAGATAATTTGCGCAACCTCATCTGAATATCAACAGGTCAGTTGAAAAAAGAAACACATTGTGGGTCAGGTACTGTGAGAAGTAAATGAAGACAGGAAAGCACTTCATACTTTAGTTGTAAAATCTAAAGAGCATGTTGTTCGAAACAACCTAATGAGGTTATCGTGATTCTTTCCATTCGGTTACAATTTGGTAGCTTGGCTAAGTTAGAGGAATAAATTCCACCTGTGAAATTCGCTTTGTAATAGCCTCCGCCGTCTCAAGAATACTAGCGGAGTCAACCGAGGATGCTCAATAAGGAATACAATTGACTTTAATCTAAATATGCAGGCGACCACATACTTCAGAAAAAGCTATTATTTTTACGAATGTAACTATAAGTGGCATGAAACTGTAGTAGCGACTGATTCCGGTGGTTGAGAGCTGCAAAGATAGCCGGACAAGAACAGCCAAGTAATTTTCAGTGATCAAATACACAATTGCAATTTAATTTTTTGCATTAGGTAGCTTGGGACTTTTTTCATAACGAAGATGGTGGGAAGGCTTTCGACCAGCAGTTCAACGGAACAACTTCACCCACAAGCCGACTGCCGGCTAGCACCTTCAATTACAGTTTCTAAGCTTACAACGCGCGAAGTAGGATGCAAAATTTTCTACCCTAGATTTCGGCGGGACAATTCTGTGCGTTCATGGATCTTGATGTCAGCGTATGTTTTGAACCTTAACTACTCGCTCTGGCAAACTTCGTACACCAATCGCGAGTTTGCTTTCCTACGAATTTATCATGTGGGCGCACCTGTAAGATTTGCTGTCTCTCCTCCCCCGAGTTCCTGACACGGGTGGTGATGCAATGGTTTTTCGATAGAGCACCACCTGGCGTTGACCGGAAGCAACAGCCTGTAAGAAGTACCATTTTAGCGTACGCCGTACATCACCCGAGTAACTACTTACTTGAAATTATCATCACTTATATTTATTGCAAGACAACGTGTGGCTTTATCATCAAATTATGCTCTCTGAAACCATGAGCATGGTACGCTGTACACGAATTTGTGTAGGAAGGACAATGATAAGTCAGCAGCAATATCGAGTGCAAACCTATTTGATTAATTATCCAACAAGAAACGCCCACACATCGTCGTTATCAAAAACTTCACTGCAGTTCGAAATGTCCCCTACAATTAGGATATAAACCCGAAATCTAATGGCCAGCTGCTAATTCATGCAGCAGTAGAATAATCAAGTTAGAAAGATTTTTACCTGTCGACAGAGATTTTAACCCCATCATTAAGGTAACGAACAACCGATAGCGCTTTAACTTACCCATACACTGTATTAATATGGATCTGGTCATTTTAACATAATTTGCAGGTGCAACTGTCTGCTTACTAAGAACTTGGAGGCATAATCTGAAGGTTTAAGCAGCTTTGCCCTTTGCGGTCAACTTCACGCGGTGGTTCTGAGCGAATGACCTCAAGGAAGAAGCGGCTACCTTCTCTACTGATGTCGTACCTAAGCCTTTGTGATGATATCACGGCACATGAAGGTTTGTTGTTCAAAGGAAAGTGATTTTTGACCCCGCTATCACCTCACAGGAAGATTCTGGAGCATGCCCATCTGAACCGTTCGGAGATCGGTGGCATCTTCGGCCGAATGCGAGAAGGCTACAGTCGGGGTGGTGTGTTAGATTTCATCCGGTCGATTTCAAAAAGCTCGCAAAAGTCAAGAAACCCCAAGTTACAAACGCTGCAAGACTTAAGGTTGCAAATTATACCAATAAAAATATGCTGGAGCAGCGAAAAGAAGTAATTACTTGTAGTGGGCTGCTGTGATTGCTTCAAGATTGGCCAACCCATGAATCTAAACAAGAAACAGGCCGATAACAGGAGTGCTAATTCTTTTGTCCGGAACGCGGTTCAAACAACTGGCTCTTTGGCTATAATGTGAGAAATAATGCATTAACTAGCCCTTAACAAAGTCATTCGGAGAGCAAAACAGGGGCAGTAGCAAGGAAGAGCAAGAAGCTAGTGTCGGCTACGGGAGCAACGGTGGAGGACTCATGGTTGATGCTAAAGGGAGTAGCGTAAAACACGTTCATTGGATGTCTGTCTTAGCTCCTACAATGGTTGTACAGTAGAATATTTACATTCAGGACAGCGAAGATTTCGCGCTAACTTCAGTGTCACATGGACGATGGAAATGTGAGTCAAGAAAAGGTATAAGAACATGTAGATATTAAGTTTGTGGAACTAGTGCCCTAACTAAAGAGGAGGTACAGAACCAATCTAGTCGTGATATATAAGTGCGCTGGAAGAGTTGAAAGGAACTCGTTCAGTGGGATCATCGTGTTAAAGCAGTTTTCGATTTTCTCAGTAACATTTTGTCACACGTCGCTGGATGTACACTATTTCACCTCAGTTTGTAGAGCTCTACCTAGTGAAAGCACCCTCTCTGGAACAATTACTGCACAGCCTGTATCTAAGGAGGTTTACGTTAGGCAATTTTTCGCCGGTACTCAAGCATACAATTTTGTGATGTTACATTCACCCACAAGGGAACTTGGCTACATTCGACAGAGTCTCCCAGCTCTTGTCTGTATTATTGCACAGTGTGTGAGAGCTGCAGAGCAAATTATGATTCCAGCACGAACCGTTCTCCGTTAGGCGGCTATCAACTTTTGCTTCTCTCAATTCCAGTCAGTGTGAGCAAGCAATTGTTTCCAAGGCAAAATACTTACGGCGAAAAAAGCAGCGAAAGTTCATTTATGACCAAATCGGAGTTCGGACCAGGCCGATTAATATGATGTGCATCACTAGACATTCAAACCGGATGCATTACCGTGAGTCCCGACTAATACGGGTAATATTGGGATCCCCAGATTATGAAGAGGCGATGCTTTTGTCGGTGTACCGCCTCCTGAGTGGAGATAATGGGATTCGCATATTTCCGGCTATATCATGGGGCGAAGGCCGGCGAAGCAAAAAGAATTCAAAGGACCGCTACACGGAGAGTAGCAGAAGAATTATGTTCATTCATAGCGTGCCCGAGTTACCGGCAGCTAGCGAAGGGGACCCCAATGCCCATGATCTGGAAGAATGACTGTACATCAGTGAAACTCTCTGATGATGACATCCTACTTCAGTCAGTTTAAAGACTACCCGTGTAACCTCACTATAAATGGAGTAACCCGAGAATAGTGAAACTTATGATTCAGTCTCAACAGACGACGATGCAATTAATCCGAAGCTGGTAGCTACTGCGCAACACACTTCATTCGAAACGACTACAAAGGCAGCAGTTATAGAAGCAGAAGGACTCGCTGTCGTAGAGGAAGCAACACCCCTTGAGAATCGATATAAACACCATGACGATTCAAAGAACTGTATGCCTAGACCAGTAGCTACTCAGAACTTACCAACGGACTGCATAACACATGTACACGTGAGACCGAAAACGGATTGTATTCATATTGAGATATTCATACTGAGATTTGGAAAATCACCCAAAAACGATTAGGTGGTGGCCTCTTACTGGTCGGCATAAATTCACCCCATTCGTACACTTCTTGTCAAATGCTTCTGAGGTCCAAGAAGCTATTCCGCATGTACACTAATGCTCAAGGGTTAGTTAGCGAACTTGCTGAGCTGCGACTCTGTCATTGATCAAAGGCATGTAACCTCAATGTCATAACGGAAAAAGACAGCATCGATCGTCGCGCAGTGGCCTTAAAAAAAGGGTCGCATTACCTGCTGCATACAGTGGGGTGGATACACGAAAACAAAATACCGCTGGTGCCTCCCTTCTTTCTTCGTCTACTGCACATACTCTCCCCGTTTCACCCAATCCACTACTTCCTCCAATCCAGGTTGTCACCACCCATGCGAATGCCCGCCAAAACAATCGTATGCCTTCGTGCAAAGCGCTCAACATCGGGTGCTAGAATATGCACAAGTTGCCAGACTGAATACGAGTGAGCGTCCTGAGTGATGCTCTGCACTGGTCATGAGCTAACTCGAGCAGAATGGGATCGATTTTGCAGCACTCAGTGAGACTCCGCTAGTTGACCGGTGGTGGTTACACGTTCTGCTGGGTGAGGAACGCCACCACAACACCACGTGAACATGGGGTCGGGTTTGCACTATCCGACTGTCTAAATGGCCAGCTGGTGGCTGTTACGTGTTCAACCAATGCTCGCTCCCTATGACCGTGAAGCTGATTGGCCCTACACACACATGTAGATAAGCACGCACACACGCACTCAAGGACACACCCTAACGTTCCGTGTTCACATGTAAACCGTCAAGTGTTCAGTATACTGTGCGCCAGACTGACGCGTCTTCTTGCTTATTCGCTACTAGTTGAAATACGTACTTGCGGTTAGAGTCCAGCTGTGATATCTGGCGACAGAGGTCAACATGTCCATGACAAATACTCCACCGGTCTTCTGGTCGTGCTCTACCGACAAACCTTCCCTGGACTCGTGGCATAGATGGCGGAAAACCTTTACGGATTACTTGGAATTGCTTCCAATCTTGAATCCAGCAGTATCTCTTACGGAGAAAAACAAAGTGAAGCTCTTGAGACAGTTTCTTGGAGATGAGGGTCAAAGGTATTTCGATGCACTTCGCATTGATCAAATCTCTTCTACGATAACCGGCGCTTTGGAGACCTTCAGTGCTCTTTGGGGTGCTCGTCAGAATGTTTTTACGGCTAGATACTACTTCTCGAAACTCTGCCAGAAACCAGATGAGAGTGTGAACGAGTTCATCGCTCGTGTACTACAAGCAGCAACTGATTGTAAATACAATGAA